TCTCTCCCTCCTGACAGGTTTCCTTAATGTCAGAGCCTGTTTGTCTCCTTGGCCATCCCCTGCCCATGGATTCACAGTCTATGCTCCCCATGCCCACCAGCACTGTCTCGCTAATGGGCAGCTCCAGTGCCAGGCTCGCCTCAGTTCATAGAAAGGATCCTAGAAAGATCTGTCTCCAAGGAGACACAACAGAATGTCCCTGTGTGCTATTCCCAAGGTAGTGTGTGAACAGCCCATGTTAGGAGCCACATCCCTTATTAACTCACTTACCAAATGCTCAGAGCACCTTCTAATTTTCTTTTTTTATAAATATTTTTATTGTTGACACTATTGTACATGTCCCCCACTTCCCCTCCTTTGCCTACCTTCACCGAGGCCCCACCTCCCAAAAGTGCTTTTAAATCTATTGTTTATTCTGATAAGGGTTAGTAAGATCACTTCATGCACCATTCGAATTAAATGACAGATAAGAAATCTGAGGTTGAAAAAGATAGCAGAACTACTAAGGATTATATACCTAGGCAGAGTTAGAGCCTGAGTTCCCGTCTCCTGACTCCCAGGTCAGTATTATTTCTGCTATATTATGTCAGTGGGTCAAGCCTGTAGATTCTGGAGGGGAATCTCAGGGTTAGAAGGAATTTAATGCCATCCAGACTAACTATATAATCTAGGGACTTTAAATGTCATGTATGCTAATTATGCAGGAACCCCCTCAAAAAATGCCCTGCCAAGTGATTAGCAACTCCCACAGCTACACATTTTACCTTTAAGTATCTCTGAATATTAATAAATTCTCTCTTATCTTGAGCTCAGATCTAATTCCCTCATTTTCTACTTACTCCTTGGTTATATTTGTTGCAACCAAGCACATATATGCATGTGCACACACACTCATATGCACACACACACATACATACTCACACACACAACATGAATATTCCTCATGACAGTCTTCCAAATGATTTACTCCTGAGTAATCATTTTTCCATACTTAACAACTTTCACTTCCTTTACTCTTCCTCCAGTGAGAGGATTTTCATGCTCTTCATTGTCTGGCCTCTGGCCTCTGGCCTCTGAGTCTCCCCTCAATGCTCCTCGTAGTGTGACATCACTACGGCAACCTCACTCTGGCCTCTGATCTCGGCAAGATCTCCATGCTGAGGTCTTCTGACCCTGGAAAACACGATGAGTCTAGAGTCCTTCCCCCTGTTCTCATCTTGCAGCAGGATCTAGAATAGCATGAACTAGAACAGAGATTCTGAAACACACTAACCAAGAATTGAAACTGGTTTTTGTTCCAGTGACTCAGGTGTTCTAGTAAATGTGTACCCACCTGGAGAAGGCAACTAAATGACAGCTAATTCTGCAGGATACCCAGCTGATGCATGAGCCCAGGGCACCCTGAGTCGGAGGAAAGGTAATGATTCACAGGTACCAATTGCTCACCCTCAACACGCGGAATAGCTAGGAGAAGCAATGAGTCGTGCTTCAATTATTCCTGCCCAGAAAACACTACAGTTCAAAGAGCCCATTATTCATGGAGGGGCAGCTTAGGCAGCACACCTGAGCAGGAGAATTGCTTTGCTCTGGATCTTGATTCACTTTCTTGAGTTTTATATGGGTGTTTTTTTTTTCTTTTGTTTTCATTACAGAGGTAATTTGAAGCCAAGCTGGTTGATTAGGCAGAGCAGTTCCTAGATGTACACAGGGCAGCCACAGTTCAGAGGGCAAAGTCTTTCAGCAACTGCTGCTGGGCTGGGCTGCAGGCCGCAGGATCCATGACAGGTAAAGAGCTAAAGGGGCGACACAGATGCTCAGGAATCCCGTGGCCTGGGTATCATTTCTGGTGCCTCTTGGTCCTGATCCTGTACTTGTAGTAACTGAATTTGTGCTTGAAACCAAGCCCTTCCCTACATCCTAGGTCTGGGAACCAGGTTTTTGACATGTTGCTTATGCCTGATGACCAGCCCAGTACTCTTAAATAATGATGCTCTGCAACACTTTTAACATTCCTTCTTTTCCACCGTGGTCGGCAAACTGCGGCTCGCGAGCCACATGCGGCTCTTTGGTCCCTTCAGTGTGGCTCTTCCTAAGCCTTAGGAGTACCCTAATTAAGTTAATAACAATGTACCTACCTATATAGTTTAAGTTTAAAAAAATTTGGCTCTCAAAAGAAATTTCAATCATTGTACTGTTGATATTTGGCTCTGTTCACGAATGAGTTTGCCGACCACTGCCCTAGAACCACATGATTGCAGCCAGGACCTTGCTTCCACCTGCCAGACTTTCCTGACGCTGGTACCCTGCTCACGTCTCTGCAGGACCTCGGTACCCAGACTCTCCATTGCTAGGTTCTACCCTCCTTAGCAAGCCCTCAAACCCTATCCTGTGCCACACCTCCCTAGCCTACCCTCTGCTTATACTCTTACCTAAGGACTCACCTCTCTCTATCAGTTATACTGTTTTCCTTTGCTCACTACCAGCAGCTGGGTTGACACTAACCCAAGCCCAGGGACCAATTTCACTTCCCAAGCCCTTCAATTCTATCTGATGTTGCCACTTTTCAAGATTCTTTCTTCTCAGAGCCGTGTTAGAAGAAAATGGACGAGAGGATAAGCTTCAGAACAGTGATGTGCAGCCTGGGAACTCTGATCAAGGTGAGGAAGGGGAATGCTGTTTCCCACAGCCCCACACACAAGTAGTGCTCTTCCACCCACCCACCCCCATTCCCTACTTCCCTACCCAGAAACCTGATTTCTGTCACAGTGAAGACTGGGCCAGTTTTATGGACACCAGAGCAAAGGCACTATATAAAGATTTTAGCTTAAGTGATTTTGATTTTTCTTTTGGAATATTGATGGCAGCTAACAAATTACAGCCAAGTTCTATTTACAGCTCTGAGGGTATTTGAATTCAGGAAAACACACTTGCACTTGGCGATCTTGGGGATATATTTAAATTCACAAAGAACTATTTTTGCCATGTGGTGATTTTTTTTACAGAAATAATGACTCTATTTGCTAATTAAGGTGATAAACAATGGTACAGCTCCTCTTCCATCTCTACCTCTAAACTTAAATTTAATAGCAACCCTCTGCTGAGGCAGAGAGAACAAATGAGCTAGTTGCTCATTCATGGAAAACAGAGAAAAATTTTCCAGGGACTGTTTTTTTGAGGTGTCTATTTTAAGAGATTTGAAGGGGAGTAGGTTACAAGGTGAGTATCCAACCTTTTAAAGAGCAACAATCAGGAATTTCAATCAAGTGGTTGCTTATCAAATGCTCATACACAGAGTATGCCCCCAAATAGGCTGAGCTTGTCACCAGATTTCATGTTTCACAACCCTATCCTATATCTGAATGTCAAAGCCACCTTTGCAAAAAGTGTTCTTTTGTTAGACTAAGTAGAAAAATACAGTGAAAAGATTTCTTGCTATTCTCTAAGTAAAAGAAGATCTTTCTCCTAAGAAAAACACTGCTGAGGATAAAAGCCAAGTATTGTTTTATACATTCTCCAAATTCCAAAATACCATTTAAAAAAGAATTACACCCACGATTTATGCACGACTCATTAGACAGCAGGATAAAGTGAACTGCTAAATTTTAATTGCATTGAAAGAATAGACATCTTAAACTACACCTCCAAGTTCTTTGGATTATAACCTATTCTAGTTAACATCTCCCCCATAATATATGCCTTGTTCAAATAGCCTACCTTGATCAAATTAAAACAGTATTTTTAATTTTGTGCTTTGATAGACTTCCGAAAAAAAATTTTTAGTTAAGCAATTAGAAGGCCAAATGTTATCAGTATGTAAGCTTTTGATTGTGAAAGTTAATAGGTTAAAAAAGAGAGATGAAATATTGTCATTTGTTAGAGCATTGATGGACCTTGTATGCTCATTGAATAAGCAAGGTGAGAAAGGACAAAAAAACACGTGATTTTATTCAGATGTGAAGAAAAAAAATGAACATACAAAAAACAAACTCATACATGCAGACAATAGATTGGTGGTCACCAGAGGAGGAGCAGAGAGAGGGTGAAATGGGTAAAGGGGGTCAAAGGTGCAGAGACAGATAGAAACTAGATCTTCGGTGAGCACTGAAATGCATGTAATGTTATAACCAATGTTACCTCAATAATTAAATAAAATCATAATGGAGTATTGAATTTATAGAAAATAGCCTGGCCAGTGTAGCTCAGTGGCTGAGCGTCAATCTATTAACCAAGAGGTCACAGTTCGATTCCCTGTCAGGGCACAACCTGGGTTGTGGGCTCAATCCCCAGTGTGGGGCATGCAGGAGGCAGCCGATCAATTATTCTCTCTCATCATTGATGTTTCTTCTCCCCTCTCCCTTCCTCTCTAAAATCAATAAAAACTACATTTTAAAAAAATTGTAGCAAATAATATTTAACATCTGAAAAATAAGGATTTAAGATTTATATTTAAAACACCATATCTATATTTTCTTATTCTAAATAGAAAATTTCTTTTAAAAAAAAACCCAACTCAGTTGTCTGCAAACAAACATGGTTTTCATAACTGCAGTTTTCCTCTTCCCTGCAGGATACCCCGCACCACACAGGCCTGGGAGGGAATGTACCCGTTACACACAGCACACTCTCCGTTACCATACTGATTGCAGACTGAAGCTAGGGAAGAACACTGTTCTTTGCATAATAGATATAATATCTTACATAACATACAATAAGTATGACAGACAACATCTTACAGGAGGTAAACAGCTTTTCAGAAGTTGCAAGCTGCCGGCTAACAGTTCTAAAGGAGCCAGGTTCAGAATGAGCACCTGCTATTGGACTTAACGGTCCATGACAGTAAGGTTTCCCAGGTCTACCTGCCCCCTCCCTTTCGGTGTGGAAGGACATCTGCCATGAGTCTCTGATTCTGGCAGCCACCACTGAAGAGGGAGCAGAATTAAGGAGACAGGCATGCTGCTTGAACTCCGGCATCTCCCCACGACTGCGCTTCACACACATACCTGTGGCCTTTAGCGGAGTTTTCTCTCCTAGCAACAGTTTTAACCTTTTGGCATGGATTTTGCCTTGATAATGGGAGTCGGCCACCACCGCTGAGGTAAAAGACATGTTGCAGAGTGTGCAGCACTTGTTCTTATCAACCATATCAGCACCACTTCCCTGCCAGGGGAGAAAAAAGATAACATTAGCGAGAAGCCCAAGTCCTAAGATGTCTTTATGCCCATTCCACTCTGTTGCAGATGAAACTGACCACAGACTTTCATATGGAGATGTCTCTGGTTTTTGCTCTGCAATCTCTTCGTGCTTCATGATAAGCATCAAAACTTAACTGGTTCCTGACTTCACCCCACATTTATTTAGCGGCTGCTGCTGCCAGGCACTGGGAATAGAGGACAAACGTTCAGATAGGAATTACCAGAAGAAAAAGGAGCCCACAATTAGGGGAGAACATATTGTGTCTGGCGCCGTGAGGAAAACAGCCTCTAATTGCACCCATTATACTCATTAAAATAGGTAAAATATCAGAGTTCGGGTGACCTGAATTATTTAGCAGAAATTATCATTTGACATTCAGCTCTGCCTTTGACCAATTTTAGCCTCACCAGGCTACAGGGCCACGTGTTCAAAGAGAATTTTTAAGATTTATTTAAGGGCTTGAACATTTTTTGTAATTAACTCGTGTATCTATAAGCTCTGATGACCATGCTGGCAGAATTTTCTATGTGAGTTTGTGTAATTTTCCTTTTCTCCATGAAGGTGATTAGTTAAATGCCACACACCCAAAAACTTAAGTCCAGCTTGATTTTTATTCTTTTGTAAGATTTGATGAAAATGAAACATGAATCAGAAAAAAATAAATCCTTTGTCAGACCATGTGACCTAGCTATTGTGCACACATCGTCAATTGCCTATATTTTGCCAGGGGAAGATTAATCCATTGGCACCCCTCCTGCCTAGTTGGAAATTGAGGGTAAAGTGGACTCTCAGATAAGGAGTTAATCTATTCCTTAATGGAACAGCAATAGCAAAGCATCTCTTTGTTAGCGCAGGCCGTGGATGAGTCTCCGGCCCCACAATAGGACTTTCTCTTATTTCTAGCAAGCCCAGAGAGTGCAATTTAAAATGGCATGGGGAGAAGGATTAGGGTGAGGATGGGATGGAGAAAGAGAATTATACTGTGTATTTTTTGCATAATAATAAGATGTCCAGACTGCAGAGAGAGTATTGCCTTGCAAATTATGTGGCAGAAAACGAACTCTTCCTTCTTTAAGACATTAGTCTGTAATTTCTGTGATAATTAGCATTAGTCCTTGGGAGGAGTGGTGTGTGGTTGTTGGGGAGGGTGCGAGTGAGTGTGGCAGGAGAGGGATGTGTGTTCCAGGGGCTGGCCTGTAGTTCAGGGGAGGAGGGGAAGTGAGAGACTTCAAAAGGGAATCTGTGTGATTTGGAGTTACAAAGCCGCACCTACTGCAATATATCCTCTTGATCTTAGAATATTAAGCCTCAGAGTGTCCCCCTTTATTATAGTTAATGAGTGAGATGTGAGGAAATGTACTGCTGGGGATTTGGGGGGTCAGTGAGAGAAAATGGATCCTGTGGAGAGAGAAGGAGCTCCCCCAAATGTCCTCTCCTAGAAAGGGACTCACCTTAGGGCAGGACACCTGGGTAGTCACTGAAGCTGCGCCCACTGAGTGTGCCCTTGCTGAGCATTTAAAGTCAAGATGTTCTGAGTTTTCCCCCCATTAAAAAAAAAGAAAAAAGCCATAAACACTTTTACACCCTTGTGTGGTCTACAGTGAAGACTGACTGGGCGAGGCAGGAAAGGAGAGAGTTGGCTTCTCCTCGCCTACCTCTCCTACCAAGCCCTGGAGCTGACACATAACCCACGGAGGGTAGAGCCCAGGAATAACCAGAAATGACAAATTTTGGTTTTACTAAGGGTTCAAGACCAGTACATGAGGAGGTGATAGACCAGGAGGGATGGAAGACCCAACCCAGTTCTTTCCTATTATGTGCTATTGAAGATAATCAGTGCTTCATTAAATAAAAAATAATGGAAGAAAGGTTGTTAAAATGAAAGGAGTGGCTTGAATGACTAATTTCTGATCTATTTATGCATGATATGCATCAAGGTATATAATTTTTCTTAAAATTAGGCACAAGATCATAAGCCAAAGCTTAGCCCACAGTCTATAACTATGTGGAGTTTGCACATCCCTGCTGCTACTTCCAGTGAAAGTGCAGCCACACCTGGCCTCAGGAGGCAGTCCTTCTCTTGCTGGAGCTCTAATGAAAGGCCAGAAACTCACAATTAGGGGCTGGTATCACGATATGAAGTACACTCAGAACTAATTTCCAGGGCAAAGAATTGGCCTTAATGTGGATAATGACCAATGGATTTATGTCATTGATTCATTCAGCACATTTTTAAGAACCTACTAAATATTAGATTCTGTATTAGATAAAAATGGCACTGCTCTCTGTTACCAAGGATGATGAGACCAGGAGACTTGGAGGAGTCAGACCAAAAATAAAAGTATTATAACCAAGGAAACAGAGTCTTCTCTTGGACTTACATCCTTTTAATTGTAAGGTTAAAAGACCATTAAGATAAGTCTATCTGTGTGGATTTTTTTCTTCAAGCTTTTCTCATGCCTGGAATGCCTTTCCTCATCACTTTTTGTCTAATTCAGTCTTTTCAGAATTTGTCTTCATGGCACAGTTTAGTCATCACTTCCTGAAGGTGAAGATTCTTCTGACCTCTCTACTGTTCTGCAGAAGTAAGCATTGACCTTGCGGTCTTCTATCTGCCCTGCACATAATTCTTTTACCATAGAACACTAACTAATACATTTATTTTGTTATGAAAGTAAATACCATGGAATGTAGTTATGCCATAATTATAAACAAGGGACCAAGAAAGTTTGGGTACTTGACAATAGAAGGCCTATGAGGCCCTGAGAAGTTAGGTGGCCACTGAGGCCTGCAGGACATGCTTACGGGATATTTTACTAAAGGAGCCAATGTAACTCACATGATACAATTGTAAATACCACCTCTTCTGACTACTTTAATGACCTTAGTGAAAAAAACAACTATTTAGGAAAAAATTTAAATATTAACCAAGTGCCTGCAAAGAGAGAGAATTTAATTGTGCCTCCTTGGTTATGTAAACTCCCAATTAATGGTTCTTTGCAACTATAGATCATATAATCTATATTGAAGTCTCCCACTGTACCCAGAGCAATGTCCATAGATTGTCCAGGATAGAACTCCATAAAGTTTGATGAACTGACTTCAATGAATACATTTAAAGTTTCTGGCTTAAAAAATTGATAATGGCCCCAAGCTATCAAGTAAATGAAGAGGAAAACTAAGATTGTCTTAAAATATGGATTTCACACTAGAGGCAATAATTAAGTCAGACCTTTTTAGTGCAACATCCACATTGCTGAAAAAATATATTTGTAGAGTATCCTAATTCTGCTTAGTCAAAGCATTTTGCAAAGCTAAGAAGTTTTCAAATGAATTCAATCACAGTGAAAAACCCTAGATCAGTGGTTCTCAACCTTCCTAATGCTGCGACCCTTTAATACAGTTCCTCATGTTGTGGTGACCCCCAACCATAAAATTATTTTCGTTGCTACTTCATAACTGTAATTTTGCTACTGTTATGAATCGTAATGTAAATATCTGATATACAGGATGTATTTTCAGGGGTCGCAACCCACAGGTTGAGAACCACTGCTCTAGATGATTCTGCCCAGAAATCTAGTCCCAGAAGGCCTTTCTCTTTACAATGTTTTTAATTAAATTCAAATAATTGCCTTCATTTTCTTATATTTTAGATAAATATAAAAAGTTCAAGAGAGAGACTTCTACTTGCAGTATTTCAGAGTAAGGACTTATTTGAAACTGCTCCCCAGCAAACAACCATAACTAATAAAAATTGCTTCTTAAAAAACAAACAACTCTTTAAAGTCTCTGGAAATTATCCTAAGAGCAAATGGCAAATTAAGAAATATTTATTTAAGAAAATATACTAAATTTCAATAAGAACTTCAGCCACAACTATCTACCTCCCCATCAAACCCTCAGTTCCATATGATGGTTGGGTGGGGTTAAGAAAACAGAGCTCCTTGACCCATCAGCTCCCAGTTAAGGGAAATCACTAAGGAAAGGCCACCTAAATTAATCACATTCTCTTCATTTATAAGATGAAAAAGCTAAATTCCTTGTAATGTAGCCATGAAATCAGGTACTCCCTTCTTCCACTCGCCCTCATTTATAAGACAGAAGCTCTATCCTAAGCACAGCAGGCTAAGAATATTGTAACTCTGATTGCCCTTGCCTCAGCACACATGCTTATCTGTCCATGCCAGGACAGATACACTGAGAAGACCAGAGGTTGCCACCTCTGCCCAGCTAATAAAGCTAGGCTTTCACTCTGAGAGAATCATGCCACTGTCCCTGTCCCTAGCTCTAGGGCACCATCTAAGAGGTTTTATTCTTCAATAAGAACAAACAGAGAAAAGGAAGTCCATAAGAACAGAGAGCTCATAAACTCTCCCCAAAGGAACTGACTTTATTTGAAATAGAGTCCAAGGGTGCTCTAAAAACCAATGGAGATTTTGATGGTAACCAATTAAGACAAAGCAGATAGCTCTGTTAAAGCAATAAGCTAAACCAGAGGCCAGCTAGTTTACCAGAGAGGACCAGGAGAAGAGACAGCTAAGGACAGCCATTCTGGAGTCAGAGCAAGCTTCAAAGATTTGCCTCAAAAACTAACTCTACAAAAAGAAATGAATTTAATTAGATCAGACTATGGAGCATTTATATCCTAGAGCAGTGACAAAACAACTGAACAATTACCTAGCAATTAGTAAAACCTACATTCTAGGTATGATTCCAGCGGAGACAGGCAATTTAACAGGGGAGACCAGAAAAAGAGACAAAGGGAATCTTTTAAAACCTCTGTCATCACACAGTGACTATGCACATTCCTAAGGCTGCTCTTCTGAGCAATGATATTGGTAGCTGCCCATTGTGAAGGAAATAATTATTAAAATAGTTTAGCCAAGACACTGGACAAAGAAATGAGCAAACAAAAACAATCCCTGGAGGATGAGGGAACCAGAATGCAGCACTGCTACAAAATA